TCTTATATTTGTTACTTCACTTGATATTTGTAAATATATTATTTTTATATCTAATACTTATTTAATTTTTTTACAATTCGAATAAGATACTTATCTAAACAAATAAGATATTTATAAATAACATGTATACCCGTGCCCAATGCTCACATTTAGTTCCTTCACTTACTAGGGCTTGGCTGGCTTCCACATTTTCTCTTTATCTCTCTCTCCTTTTTTTTTTTTTTTTGGCAACATTTTCCCTCATTTTCTTTGAGCTTAGTAAATGAAAAAATAGGACACCAAACCAAATAAAAAAAATTAATAGAAATGAATAAGAGTTAATAATTACTATAAAAATGAAAATTGAAATGAATAAGAGTTTGATAACTTGCTTTCCTTTCCCTTGGATTTAACTTATTACAAGTTATCAATATGCTATTTGATTTGAAATAACAATAGAAAACACAAAGAAAAATTCATTTTGTTTTGTTAATACGTAAACAAGATAGTTGATTGATTTATTCTAAAATCATCATCACATTATGCTAATAAATTCAAGTTTAAGTATGAATTAATTAGTATATTTATGATTTCTTAATAGATTCATTGAACATAACATCAAGCAACACCAACCCAAATTTAAAAAATTGTGTTGATAAGAAATTTATTTGAAGTATATTAATGATGCATGTAGTCCATATTTTTCGAATTCCATTTTTTATAGTATATTTAATGATAATTTACATAACAAGAGATAAGTCATTCATTCTCAAATTTATGTTTATCCACCTTAAGAAGCAATGATTTAGGGGATGAAAAATTTCAGACGGACAATGATGGTCATCAATCTCGTGTGAGTCCCACAATGATGCTGGCCAAGATTTTTCCACAAATTTTGTGTACTCTTAACCCTTAAGCATTATGGACTACTACCCCAAAATTGGGCATCCCTTCCTTCCACGGTTAACACATTTTGTCTTTGCATACCTTGCAATCCTCAAATAAACCCCATAAACCCTAACCTTCAAGTTATTCCATCCCCAACTTCACTTCCAATCTAACTTTCTTCTTCCCCCATATCTCCTCCCCATTGCCATTTTCCCCATTCTTCAAGATTTTCCAGCCCTCAAATCCTCCTTCCCCAAAAAACAGTCGAGTCAATCTCCCCCCGAACTTTCCTGTCAGTTTCGTCTCCCCCTATTAAATCTGAAATCTCACCAAATCCACTAAATTCCACCCTCTTCCTTAATTGAATTAATAAAGACAAATAAATAATGTTGAAACAAATAGGAAAGAGAGTAGGAAATGTTGGAAAGAAAATTACGCGTACAATTTCCAAGCCCTTTAAGAAGCCACGCAGGAGACCCTCTGTATCCATACCCCCACCATCCCCTTCACCGTCGCCACCTACGACACCATCTCCGCCTCCGATGATGTCACTACCGAAACCCCAGATGTCCAAGATCCGTCCTTTTCTCTTCCCCACCGCTCAGTCCACTGTCCTCCCTGACCCCTCCACCTTCTTCTCCCCTTCCCTCCTCTCAACCCCTCTCCCCACCAACTCCTTCTTCCAGAACTACACCCTAAAAAATGGTGACCAACCCGAATACATTCATCCATATCTGGTCAAATCGTCGCTCTCCTCTCTTACCGTCTCCTACCCATCTCGTTTCCACAACTCTGCTTTCCTGTACCAGATCTTCGTCGCTGATCTCACCATCTCTGCGACAGATAAAACCTCTCCAGATTCTAAGCAAAGCCATATAATCTCTGATTACAACGATCTGAGTGTCACTTTGGACTTACCTTCATCAAATCTCCGTTTCTTTCTCGTCCGGGGAAGCCCCTTCCTCACTTGTTTGGTCGCCGGAAATACCACAATTTCAATTTCTACTATTCATGCGATCATTTCATTTTCATCAAATAGTTCGCTCACCAAGTACACCGTTAAACTCAACAACGGTCAGACCTGGCTTATATATACGTCGTCGCCGATCAATATGAGCAACAGTCTTTCTTTGATAACTTCCACAGGGTATTCGGGTATACTCCGGATTGTTGTTTTGCCAAACTCCGATCCCGGATATGAGTCAATTCTTGATCGGTTCAGTTCTTGCTATCCTACCTCAGGCCATGCTTCTTTCACCAAACCATTTTGTTTAGAATACAAATGGGAGAAGCAAGGATGGGGTGATTTGCTTATGCTGGCACATCCTCTCCATCTAAAGATTCTGTCTGGGGATGATTGTGATGTTACTGTTCTGGAGAATTTCAAGTATAAAAGTATTGATGGTGATCTCGTTGGTGTTGTTGGTGATTCATGGGTGTTGAAACCACCCCAAGTTTCAGTGACTTGGCATTCAATTAAAGGGATACAGGAAGAATCATATCCTGAGATTATTTCTGCACTTTGCAAGGACGTTGAGGCCTTGGATTCATCAGCAATATCGACAACTTCATCGTATTTCTATGGTAAATTGGTAGCAAGAGCGGCAAGGTTGGCTTTGATTGCTGAAGAAGTGAGTCACCTTGATGTGATGCCTGCAATAAGGAAGTTCTTGAAGGATTCAATCGAGCCATGGTTGGATGGTACATTTAATGGGAATGGTTTTCTGTATGATTCTAAATGGGGTGGAATTGTCACCAGACAAGGGTTAGTGGATAGTGGGGCAGATTTTGGATTTGGAGTTTACAATGATCACCATTATCATTTGGGGTACTTTTTGTATGGCATTGCAGTACTGGCAAAGATTGATCCTGCGTGGGGGAGGAGGTATAAGGCTGAAGCTTATTCTCTAATGGCTGATTTTATGAACTTAGGGAGGAGATCAAATTCGAGTTATCCTCGTTTGAGATGCTTTGATTTGTATAAATTGCATTCTTGGGCTGGAGGTTTGACTGAATTTGCTGATGGACGGAATCAAGAGAGCACCAGTGAGGCAGTGAATGCATACTATTCTGCTGCACTAATGGGGTTGGCCTATGGAGACACCCATCTTGTTGCAACTGGATCTATGCTGACATCAATGGAGATTCAAGGAGCACAAACATGGTGGCATGTGAGGGAGGAAGATAATTTATATGAAGAAGATTTCACTAGAGAGAACAGGGTAGTGGGTGTCTTATGGGCTAACAAGAGGGACAGTGGCCTTTGGTTTGCTCCTCCTGACTGGAAAGAATGCAGGCTTGGAATTCAGTTGCTACCAATACTGCCTATCTCTGAGGTTTTGTTCTCTGATGTTGGCTTTACCAGGGAGCTGGTGAACTGGACACTACCAGCTTTAGGGAGGGCAGGAGTTGAAGAAGGATGGAAAGGGTTTGTCTATGCCTTGGAAGCAATTTATGACAAAGAGAGTGCGTTGGAGAAGATAAGAAAATTGAATGGATATGATGATGGGAATTCTCTTACTAATCTCTTATGGTGGGTTCACAGCAGGGGTGATGAAGAGGAAGGGGAATATGGTGGGATGGGGAAATACTGCTGGTTTAGTCACTATTGTCACTGAGTTTATTTGCCTTTACTATTATGATATGATCTTTTGAATATTTCAAGTCATCTAGACAATGTTTTCTTCCCCTGTTCTCCTTATCAATGCATTTGCTTTGTCGCCACCAAGTTAGTGAATCTAGATATGAACCAAAAAGTAATCACTAAAGGAAAAAAATTTGAAGGTATAGACAGATGGTACAGAGGGTGGCAAAAGCAAAAGCATCATCAATATAACTGCAACAAGTCAGGCTATGGATTGGTGAAGTTAGAAAATTACCATAAATTTAAACACCAAACATGCAAATTACCATCAATCTAAACACCAAATATGCAATAGTGAAAACTTTTATCTTTCTCAATCGTGCAATGATTTCAACCCTGACAGTGGCTGTTGCTTTAGCTTCATTGAAGAGCTGTTCAAATTCGTCTAGAAAAGCAGACGTCTCCTGAAAAGGAAATGGATTATCTTCTTGAGCCATTCTGTTTGGAGGAGGTTGTTCCTGCGTAAATCACGAGAGAGTATGCAAGAAGTTACTTTAATGTAGTCAGATTGCAGTAATGCTCAACATGAGATTGACCAAAGGGATGACTCTGTTACAACAGAAATAAAATGGAGACAGAGCAATTATCGATCTATCATTGACGTATCCACATGAGCTTCAGCTAAAACAAATTTCTACTTCTACGAATTAGGGAAAGGGGAAGCTTGAAACTATTTTCTTTTCCCAATTAGCTTAAAAATAAGGTTCACAGATACAACAATCATAAAGAAAAGCTACAGTGCAAATGGACTGAATTTCAAGAAATCCCAATTTTGTTCTCTGCTGTTTCTAATCATACACGCTAAAAACTGAAATCCCAGATCAAAATTTTGTTGAACTCGTTTCATTTCACTCAATTTTCTCAAAATCAAAGGGAAAAGCACAAAACTTTAGCATGAAATCAAACTCAAAAAGCTTATACCTGCTGAAGAGTGAAGATTAAGGCGCAAGCTATAAGGGGGTTAAGAGGGACAACGGGAGCAAGACAAGCTCGCGTTGAGGAAGCTGCCTTTCTCTTCCTTTTTTTTTTCTTTTTTTTTTTGGTTTTTTGTATGTAACTGTGAAATGGAGACTGTAATTTATCATGGGGAAAGGGTCGTGCACCCCACGTCTCAAATGGACCCCAGGGAATTTCAGTAAAATTACAAAATGTCCCAAACATTTTTTGGTGTCAGTCCACAAGGCAAAAACAGGACCGAGATTACCATCACTATAATTTTTGTTAAAATAATTAATTTAATTATAATTTTATTAATTTATAAATATTTGTACACAATTAATTATAATATTTAAAAATATTTATTTATAAATTATTTTTAATATATTAAATAATAAAGATTAATTGATTTATTAATTATCAACTTTTTTTAATAAAATTAAGATAAAAATTTCATAATTTTTTATGACTTTAACAAAAATTATAAAGGCTATAACCATTGTAAAGAAACCCAAAAAAAGTATATATATATTAATATTAGATTTTGAGTTAAATAATTGAACTCAAGCACATAACTTCTTACCAGTGACCCAAGTAAGTCATCGGCCACAAAAGGGAATGTTTTTGGGTTGTCCATGTTCTGTTTTAGATTTTGGTGGAACAAGGGACAAGAAGATATAATCACCAAGAATTCAATGTATAGATGTTATAGAAGATGGCAAAATGGAAAGATCAGATTAACCAGTAAACCATAAAATCCTGCAAATAGTGCATTGTTAAGGAATTGCCATAAATTTATGCAAATCAAAAGCAATTACAAACAGCAATAGTGCAATTGTGAAGTATTGTATCATTGTCAATCGTGCATTGTTTTCACGCATGATCCTGGTTGATGTTCGCACCTCATTCGTGATATGTACAGTATAGCCTCCTAAAGAAGTAAGAGCATTTCTGATCAATTCAGCAGTTTCCAGATCAAGCTCTCTTCTGAGTGGGATTGGAGGTGAGTCATCCTCCTGGCTTTGATGTTGGGACATTCTGCTGGGAGGTTGTTCCTATGAAAACTAAATCAGAACAAGCAAGATCACAGGAATCAAATCAAGCAACAGCCTATGAGCTAAGAAAGGAAACTGAAGATATTAGAAGGGAAAAAGGATCAGCTAAGGATACAGAAGATATCAGAAGGCAAAGAGCATCTCCAGCTATTACTCATAGTACATAATTTAAGGAGAAATCAAGCAACAGTCACAAGCAAGTTCAGGACCAAAATTTTAGGCATATACTTAGAATATCTTGTGTGTATATATATATATATATATATACTAACATATGTATGCAGTGATTGATTGGATTGAATGCAATTCAGTATACTCAAAATTCTATCTTTTCTTAAGTTTTCTTCAGTTCCTACATAGTTTACAAGAGCAATGGAGAGAGTGAAAATTTAACCATGCAACTAAGAAAAAGCTGTACTCAGAGAGCATAAGAATTTCAAACATTAAGAAAAAGCACATGGAACACTGCCAATGCCTGCCATCTCATGCTATTTGTTAAATGTAGCAAATGTTTGACTTGAAGATGTCAATAAAGGATGGCTTCATACAGGTTGGCATCAGCAAATATAAATCCGAAGCAAAAGTCACAATTCTACTCTAATAGGTAGATGCAGACAGGATAAGTTAACTACTGTATAGAAATACCATATAAACTCCAGTTAATAGAGGAAACCAGAACTAGTACCTAAAAGTTAAGTATGCTGATGATTTACAAACATGTAAACTGCCAACTGCGATTCAAAATGAGAGCAACAATACTGCTACCATTTAACACACTTGGTTTTATAAGACAATTTCTACTTCTACCACCAAGATGAATATCTCCAACCAAGACAGGAGGACACAAGGGCCTGTGTCTTGACTTGAGCCTTACCTATATTATGTTTCTTGGCAGAGAGTGGACCTGAAGGTGTCTGTTCAGCAACAAAGACCTGCTTAATTAAAAAGAAAAAAAGAAAAAAGAAGGACAAGAGGAAAAAAAATCACTTTAAATTATATTTAGAAACAGACCAAATAGATTTTTGCTTCAAGAAATGACGCCCAGACACCCTCCCCCACTCAATTGAACACATTGGCAGACATTGAAAGGCATGAAAAAGAAGATAAGAAAGGGCAGAGTAATATCCCTAGCATCTACATTTCTACCTATATCGACCCCAAGGAGGGGAGCGGCTGAAAAGTATGCAGCTGGTATGACAATTTAGCGTTTAATATGTGAAAAGGAACTTTTCTAAAATCTGCAAATCTCATCAACTTTTTATGTTCTTTCACACCTTAATTAAAGTGAACTCGGAGTTGGTATTTCGTATCACCGCAAACAAATACTAGTAGCTTAGCAACTCAAACCATAAATATAGTCCATTTACTCTCCTAAATAGAAAAGGGTCAAAAAGAAGATGCAGAGAAAATTTTCAGCAACCATTTTCTTTTACGATTTAGCTTAAAATAAAGGTTCACAGTTACTACAATCACTAAAAATAAGCTGGCTTTACATAGAAATACCTCTCCCTATAAATGAACTAAATTTCTACAAACCCCAATATGAGGTTTTGAACAAAACATTTTGTTCATTTCTGTCTCTGTTCATACACACTAAAATTGAAAACCCAAATCAAAATTTTGTCGGACCCATTTCATTTTCACCTCATTTCCTAAGGAAAAAGGGGAAAGCATGAAACTTTAGCAAAAACCCAAAATGATATGCTGTAAAACATACCTGCTGAAGGGTGAAGATGAAGGCGTGACCTAGTGACAGGGTAAGAGAGGCACAAGGTCGCGGAGACCTACGATTTTTTTGTCCGTTTGCAGTGGGTACTAAAGTACACGAGAAGGTCGTCCCTATAGCCTTAGCCGGCAATGCAGTAGATAATAATAAACGAAAAAGTGTGGTTGGTTTAAATTGTATCTTATTGAATTATATTAATTAATTATTAGGTAAGATGGAAGTTTTTAATATTAAAGTTTTTTTCTTTAATAATTTTTTAAATTAATTTTATTTTAATTTTTAAATTAAATTTTTTAACAATAATATAATAAATAAAAGAATATATTAAATAAATTAATATATAAAATTTCACGTACGAGTGCAAGGCTGCAAAGTGCAAACCCCTCTCACACTGTCATACAACACGTGTGAGATGGGGCCCTAGAATTTTGGTAAAATTACGAAATATCATAAACTTATTTTTTAAGATTTAGGATCAACGGCTTAATTATGTCAGTGTTTATTTGTTTTCATTGAAGGTAAAAAATATTGAGTTTGAATTATATGATATGTAGGTGAAATAAGATAAAAATTAAAATATAATTATTTTTTATTATGTAATTAAAAAAAAAGACAAAATTAATTAAAATATTAAGAATTTAATGTTAAGTTAAACATTTTAAATTATGAATAATTGAAATATCATTTAATACATATAAGAGAATGTATGGCAATTGACCCTAGAGGCCCAATGACATTAATTATTGAATAGGTGCATTTCATTTTTTTGAGTGGGTTCAAATAAGTTCATTCCTCTTTCCATGTGCGGGTTTCAAACCCGTTCCATGCACAAATGTTCAAAAAATAATATTAATAATATAAGAGAATGTATGGATTGATTGTTAATATGTTTAGAATGGTGCTTTTATACATCAGAAATCTACGTGGAGTACATCATGGGATCGGAGCGAAATAGCCATGGTTTCTCCTGTTTTCCTTGATGACCCATTTGCATTAACAAGCATCCACCGTAAGAAAAATGAAAACAAGAGTATGAAACAAAAAAGACAGTCACCAAGAAAATAAAGGAGATGTTATAGAAGGTGGCAAAATGAAAGGATCACGCTAACCAGTAAACCATAATTAACATCCTGCAAATAGTCAACTGCTGATGGGCAAAGTTAGGGAATTGCCATAAATTTAAGCAAATCTAAAGCAACAACAAACAGCAATAGCGCAATTATGAAGTAGTGCAGCGTTATCAATCGCATATAGTTTTTGTGCATGATCCTGGTTGTTGCACGCGCCACTTTCATCGTCCCTTCATAACGACATCTCAGAGAAGTTATATTTTCCAGCACTTGAGCACTTGTCTGATCAAGCTCTTTTCTGAGATCTTCCGGGTCCTGATGTTGGGACATGCATTCTGTTGGGAGGTTGTTCCTCCAAAATTTACAAGAGTGATGGAGAGAGTGAATTTAACCGCGTGACTAAGAAATAGCTGTACTTAGATTGCAAAAGTATTTCAAACGTCAAGACTGCACATAGAATGCTGGCAATGCCAGCCATCTCATGCCTTTGTTTGCATGTAGCCAACTTTCAATATGAAAATGGCAATAAAAGGATGGCTTTATACTGGTTGCCAACTTGGCATCAGCTAAACCACAAGCAAAAGTGAAAATTCTATTACAAGAGATGTGTGTAGGCTGGACGAGTTAACTATTGTATAGAAATATCACATAAGCTCCAGTTAATTCAAAAAATCAGAACAAGGATCTAAAAGTCAATTAAAGTTTTACAAACATGTAAATTTCCAACTGCAATTCAAATTGAGAGCAACAATACTGCCATCATTCAACATATATACGAGGTTTCACAAGACAATTTCTACTTCTACCACCAAGATGAATATCTACAACCAGGACATGAGGACACGAGATCCCATTAATTAGATATATATAAAAGATAAAATAGATTGGTGCTTTCAGACAAGAGTGCCCTAAATAACCCACAAACACCCACGTCCCAACCAGTTGAGCTCATTTATATTCATTGAAGGGTGAAGAAAATAAGGAAGGGCAGGGTAATATAACTACGTTCAGGGCATCTATATTTTCAACCATATCGATCCCGAGGGGGGAAGAGACTGAAAAACATGCAGCTGGTGTGGCAACTGCAAAGTTTAATCTTTGAAGAGGAACTTCCAAAATCTGCAAATTACATGAACTTTTTTATGTTCTTTCACATATTAAAGTGGACGAAGATAAGGTAATTCAAGTATGACCACAAGCAAATAGGAATTTATTCATCACTTTGGATTCATAAGTTCACAGTCAATGCTCCCTTCCTGCCCTTAATCCTAATATTTCAAACCCAAGGGCCACCAACCGACCTCTAACAAACCAAAACCACTTCACTATTCATCATTCCATTTTCCCATTATCAGTTTCCTCTCATCATTTGAGCTCTAACCGGCCCAAAACATTGAAATAGAAAAGTATAAAAAAGAATCAAAAAGAAAAGGCAGAAAAAAAAAAAAATTCACCCACCATTTTCTTTTGAGTTTAGCCAATCACTAAAGAGCACACATGCTGTGTGAAATTGAATCACTAAAAAATGCACAACATTATAGGAAAAATCCATCTTCCTCTAAATGAACTAAATTTCGACAAACTATAATAGGAGTGTTGAAGATTACATCTTGTTCACTACTGTCTCTGATCATATAAACTAAAAAAAAAACCCAAATCAAGATTTAGTCTTTACAGTGCAGCCTCGAATAAAAAACAAAAATTTTTTCAAACCAATTTCAGTTTAGCTACCAGTTTCTCAGGAACAGTGGAAAAGATATCACTTTTAGCAAATGTGCTTAAACAAGATGATGATGAAGAATATAGAAAGAAAGAAAAAAAAAAAGAATATAACAAAACCCATATGCAAAATGTTATGAAATCCAGAGAATAAACGGGAGCAAATAGGTAGAGGTTTAGGGTTTCGATACTACCGGCTCGCGAGGGGAGACGAAGGAATTCAGTTGCAGAGAGGGGCGCAGGGTCGTGGAGAGCAAGCTTGTG